CGCCACCCAAGAGGTCCAGTACATGGCGCGTTTTATTTTTGCGTGGTGTCGCCACAACCTGAGACCAAGTTTTTCACGAAACTTAAATTCCTAAAAATTACTCATCTCAAAAATGGTAAGTATGTTTTAATTATTATTGCCTCACAAATAAGGACGTGCACGCGTAAATTCACAAACATTCAGTCACTCAATCATAAAAAGCGGCCAAGAAAAGGACCTTATTCAAAATCGGCCATTTCCAACACCAGCCAAATCTTCGTAATATTTTCAGGGTTGATAGAGAACTACTTCTCAAGTCCAAAACACTGACGATTTTTGAATTTGGATAATTATGACGGGAGGCGAAGAGTGTTAAAGTTGAAACTTTAAACGAGCATATCTCGTGAACGATTTGTCGTAGAGAGATGGTATTGGTCTCAAAATTTAGAGAAAATTATCAGATTTTAGCTGGTATTCATGAAATCGGTCCATTTTGAAATTTTAATCCATTGTTGCCACGTTGCCGTAGCTCAAAATTTCAATTTTTTTACATTTTGAGCCGCAGCGTTGAAGGGATCGCACGAAAAATTACAAAACTATTATTTTATGAAAGTACACCGTCTAAGCTTTAAGAGAAGCTCAAGATCATCCATCCAGCAACTGTACTACAAGTGTCACGATAGAGCACTTTAGTGGACGCACGACCCTCTGAAGTGTTTCCACCTCATTCTGATGAAAAAAATTGTGACAAAGAATTATTTCATCCTCCTTTTCGCTGATTTCGATTCATTATCCCCGCTTTACAAAATGGAGACTAAACAAATAGACGGATAATAAGGCAATTAATGGTCCAAAACCGCCAACGAACAATTTTAGGTAATTTTGGCAACACTGCAATGTGTTGGGCTGCTTATTTTTCACATCGATTCATGGAACTCAGTGTGAATTTTATTATCTTCACTTAATTTGTCCAGAAATTACTCTGCAGACGGGTAAAACAGGAGACATACAGCAAAAACCGCAAAAAAACCCCGCAATGTTCGCTCATTTTTCAAAGTTCGGCGCCCGCCAGCGCGCTTAATTTTGCCCGTAGGCAAAAAATGTATGAAACCTTTTTATAGGAAATTTAACGAGCTTTATTTCCGAAACAACTAATTTTGTCTTCAGATCAATTTTTAGCGAGTTACAGGCCATAATCCGCAAAAAAACGCAATTTTCGCTCATTTTTCAAAGTTTGGCGCCCGCCAGCGCGCTTAATTTTGCCCCTAGGCAAAAAATGTATAGAAACTTTTTTATAGGAAATTTAACGAGCTTTATTTCTGAAAATAACTAATTTTGTCGTTAGATCAATTTTTGGCGAGTTACAGGCCATAATCCGCAAAAAATGCCGATTTTAGGCCATTTTTGCCAAATTTGGCAAATTTCCGGTCCGAATAAAATGGCGCAAAGTTGAAATTCTGATTCAGCGTCAAAAAGTACATAGGAATCGATGAAAACATTGCTACCCGGGATTTTTGCAGGCTCTTTTCCTTGTTTGCCTGGACTATTGGGCCCTAAGTCACGCGCACCTAGGCTATCTCTCTCTCGCACTAGCGCTCTATACTGTCTCTTCTTCCCTTTAGGCCTACCAATCCAATGATGAAAATGAAAAATTTAAAGTTTAAATAAGTAAAATAATAGAATAGAATAGTGGAAATAATAGAGTAGCAGAAATAATAGAATTACAGAGACAACAGAAGAGAAATCAAATAAAGTAAATTAAATATATGATAAAATGAAGTCAAAGACTAAATTGAAGTAAAAAATTAGAGGGAGCAAGGAGATGAAGTAAAAAATGAGGTGAAGAAAAAATAAAGTATAAGGGAAGAAACTAAATGAGGTTAAAGAATAGAATGAATTTAAAAAGTAAACATGAAGAAGTATTAAAATAAATTACAGTAAAAAATAAAACAAAATAAGGGAATAAGAAGTAAATAATTTAAGAAAAAAAATGAAGTACTTGAAAAAATAAAATAGAGTGAAGAAAAAAATAGAGTCAGCAAGGAAATAAATCAAGTAAAACGATAAAATAAATTTAAAAAATATAGTAAAGTAAAAAGTAAAATAAATACACGGACAAATCCAGGCAGATTTAAAATATCCTATTTTCCCGTTCAAATCGACGTTAAATATCGGTTTTGCGTCACATGAAGGCAGCATCTGGTGTAGCTTAATGGTTAGGGTCTTCGGTTTGTGTTAGGCAGGTCCCGGGTTCAATCCCTGAGGTAGGTAAAAATGTCTAATCTTCAAAATCGGGTAAATTACGTCCCATGCAGTAGTTTCATTATTATTATTTTTCATGGTTTCAAAATTTATTTCCACAATTAACCCTTTTCCACCATCCCCTAGCTGCGAACCCCTAAATTTTCTATAGCCGGCGATTGAGAATTCCTACAACCAGCCATAGGAATTCTCAATCGCCGGCTATAGAAAATTCCTATCGCCAAAAGGCCATGTTTCAATTTACCATAAGATTTTTCCTATGGCCGGGCTATAGGTAATTTGTATGGCTTATTTTTACCAGGGAAGCTCCGTCCGCAAGTATGAGATCGACTTTGTTCCTCTTGGTGGTGTCTTGGGTCTTGCTGTAAACGATATCGTGAGACCCAAAAGCTTCGTCAAGCGGGTTTATACCTGGATCGCCGCGTTTTTAATCATTCTGCAAGAGGAGTTCCCGGTCCGCAGTACCTGTAGTCGCCTGGCAAATGTAGTTCAAACGGTAGTGGATTTATCAGTGAGTTTACCAGCCCACGTCCTCGATTGGCTTTGCTGCACGTTACAAATCATCTCGGTGACATACTATGACGAAAACATATATACTATTCATACGGATAGGTAGAATACCTATAACTATCCAAAAAAATAGGGAACGAATACGATGCGACTCGTCAAGCAAAGAAAGTCACTTCGAGTCTCGAATCTCGAAAAGTAAAAGAAGCAAAATTAAATCCGACGACAATGACGACGGCACAGTGAACTGCTACCTGACAGCATCTATTGCATTGTTTACGGACCGTCAAAGTGCGGTAAAACAAACCTAATGGTTTGCTTGCTACAACATTCGATCGGATTGAAGTTCCGCAAGACACCGTTCCAACCAAAGTACGAAGAAGTTCGTCGGATATTCAACGGAATCGACGGTCTCGGATACACCGTCTGGTCGGACACGGCCGAGATCGTTCCACCGAAAGATGCTGTGTCAGATTTGGTGATCATTTACGATCATTACGTTTCACCAGGATGTCCCGTGAGAAAAACAATCGCAAAGTCGACGACATAAGTGTCCATCTAAAGTTCAAAGAAGGAGAAGGGATCGATGTCTGTGGTTGACAACCCTAACGATTTATAACATTCACGTTTAAAAACGTGGACGTTTTTAAAGAGTAACGACAACTTGCCACGACGAAAATATTTTTTTGATTCATCAAACTTAACATTACAATATCCAAACCGAATTGTGAAGTACTGAATACTAGTGCTCCAATTTTTTTTATACTTGTTGACCTTCTGTGCGATTTGGTTCACCTTGCAATGAAATTCTGCTATATTTATGGCCTCGAGGATCTGAAGAAACGAAAGAAGCTTTTTAGTCATGGGGTGTGCCCTGAACGGTGAAGGATCGGGCCGGCTTCCGTAACCCAACAGTGAAGTATCCAATACCTACCAATGCTATTTTTGCACAATTTGGCAACACTGCACATAAATATTCATCATTTTGTCGTACGATCTGGCAACACTTTTAAGATTCGATGTCGCCATGTTCCACTATTACTAAAATAGATTATTTATTTGAATCGTCCGGCAACGTTGTCGCATAACCTACAAGTTGAAGGGGCAACATACCCAATTGCGTAGCCACCATTTTGAAGGGGCAGTATTCAATATTTTTACAGCGTTGCCAGGTGGTCCAATATCCACCCCATGAACCCAAGATTTAATTAAAATTTTTCGGCACAATTTGGCTGAAAACGACACCTGCGCATTTTGGTGATAATAGTTGAAACTTTGGCTTGAATCCTGATTTTCATACAAGTCATGAGCACATGCAGAATATCCCGTAAATCACCACTTGTAAAATTCACAGTTATAGTAGTTGCTTACAATTATGTTGAAAGGGGGTAAAATTGTAAAATTGCTCTTGGGGAAACCGTGGAAATTTCTCTTCTTCCAGCTGGGCATTTTTTCACGCATAGATCACACGAAAACGTCTTCAGTGTTGCGATAGTTCTTTCATCCTCAGAGTCCCTGACTTTTCTCTAACTTTTTGTGTTTTTCCCTGACTCCACAGTTTTCTAAATCCCTGATTTCTCCATTTCACCGGGCTGAATTTTCACTTTTTATTAAAGAAAAATAAGTGGCCTTTTGCTAGACTTTGGAAAACGTTTCCTCATTTATCGATTGAATTATGGAAAAGGCAATCAGTATGTGGTTACAAATGACAAGCCTTAAAAATGACCAGAAACTGTTAACATTTTTTAGATCAGTGATATGTTTTAGTAATTAAGAGATGTGTCAGAAAATGCCTAACTTTTCCCACGAATTCCCTAACTTTTCCCAATCACTGTATATTCCCTGATTTTCCTGGTTTTCCAGTTCACCGGAAATTCTTAAAGACCCACTGGCACCTTAAATTTTAGAAAAACATACTTTTATCAACAGGCCCTAAAGCAATAATTTAAATAATCCTAAAAAATAAAGTCCTTTAGTCATGAAAAGGACATGAAAATGACAATGTTAATTGTGAAGAAAAGTAGGCGGAAAGCTGCCCAAACATGCGACTTAGCCACACCGGAGCTGGAAGCCAGGTTAGTTTTACTTCCATTGAAACCTCCACCAAAATCAGTGTTTGTTCCCCAACTAGGAAGGCGGTCACCACGCTCACCCGCATGCCACCAACTACCAACGAATTTATGGGAGCTGCGAGGCGACGGCAACCAAGGAGGTTTCCATGCTTTGTGGTTTCCCTTCGGTACTTGACCCACCTTGGACGGATGTAGTGTTACATTTAGGAGGGTTGGATGCTGGTCGACTACCATAAAGTCAACCTCGCGAGGAACATAATCATCGGCGTAAACCTGCAAAATGGATTTTCCGATTAGATAATGCTTTGCATGTTGAAGTAAGAGATACAGGTGAACGAAAGAACCTCCAAATATGTGTAAAAGTGTCCAAAAATTAATATGATCAAGCAAAAAGAATCTAAAATTCACTCCCTATATCTCTAACCCACACCCAACGGCACTTTTTCTTTGTAGTTGGCAAAAGGAGACGTAAGAAAATCAACTAAATCAATGGGAATGAAAACAACTTATCGGAGCCAAGTTTTTTCATGAAAGGCATTATGTGAAACTCCCTGGGGCTGGAAATGCTGGTATACTAAAGCTGCTACGGAACCAGTCTTCCCGGATGCTCCGTGCACGAGATCTGCACGCTCTGCTGTTCTTCGTAGGTACTGCTATTGGCTGCAACGTCTTTCTGTGACGTCAAGCGTAATGGAGAGTGGGGCTATTTGAGTCACCTTTAAGAAAACGCTCATAAATCTTATTTACAATTGTATTGTCGGATTTCATGATTTAAAACGATCAAGTATACTTTCAGCTATTTAATTTTCGCCAGCGCGCAGCGTAACTTTTTTATGCATCAAGTAAAGTTAAAATCTGCATATGAGCAAGTCATATCTTTCTGGCTCACTTGACCTCGACCATGGGGTTTAATGAGCCTCACGTGCGGTTAATTGAGTCAGCTACTATAAATCATTCTGAACACATATTAATCAACCTAAAATAGGTATTTGTCAAACCTGTATAAGATATATCTTTAAATGTATCAATGGTGCATTATAATAAAAGTAAATTAATAAGAAGTATTGAAGGGGGGAGTGGGCTCCGGTTCCCCCCTTTTCATCCTGCAATGTTAAGTTTGCGATGACTTGATGATCAATTTGTTTCCTTCCTATTTGTTTAAGGAATGGGGTCATCTGTAAATAAGTGAGTGGCTGAATAGATAAATGTAATGATCAATAATAACTTTTGGTTGATATGAAAGAAGTGATGAACGAAGGAGAGCTTAAGAATAATTAGAAATTCAGAATACTAAGGAGATAGAAACCCACTTATCTGGCAAAAATCATGGAATTGCCTTTAGAAGCTTTACAGTAATTTTGAATGGTTTCGAAAATTTTCTGATATTAAGTTCTTCATCATATTTTTTTTTTTATTTTTTATTTGTACAAGAATATAATTTAGTACAATAGATACACCTATAGACATGTATAAATGTCGTTTTAAGCTTGATTTATTTGTAAGAATAACTTAACTATGTACATTTTATTATCTTAATTTATGACGTACAACCTCTATTCATCATAATGCAACTTAACAGCATTTACGAGAGTTTTTCTCGGAATTCTTGATACCCTCTTCTTCCTTTTAAACATTTCAAACGACCAACTCTTTGAAAATCTGTGTTCAGATATGGAACTTAGCCTTTTCATGAAAAGAGTTTACAATGAAAATTTCAACACTAAATCATTTATTGTAAAAAGTTTCGTAAGATCCCATGTATTCGAAATTACTTATGATGAGGATAGCAAATGGCCATTTCCACTCCCCGCCCGCCTTTCGAACGACCGCTCCATGTGTGTCACGTTTTTTCGTAGGCCACCACCAATCTACAGTGTCTGGGTATGTCGTTGATCACTGCACTTGTTTTGGTAGACTAAGTTGTCAACTTTCTACGCCGGCAAACCGAAAAATCTCTTTTAGGTGGGAAAATATCCCAGGTTACTGCTTGTGCCTCACGGCCCAAATAACCCCCCTCTTCTCTCCGGACCGTTTAAAATAGAGATAAGCTGTTGGTCCGGAGGCGATCCGTGCCGGTACAGGGAGGATCCGCATGCTTGGGATCACTGCATGTCACTATCAGTGACAAAATTGAGCACTTTACCTGTGGTTCTGAGTTTAAATTAAATAACAGATTTCTGCTCAACCTAATTTGAAAACCAGAAGTGATCAAAGGAAAAAGCAGCAACTTAGCAAAATTCGCAATATATCTCCTCGAAAAAAAAACGTTAATAGTCTAAATGGTAAAGATGAACAGTGTTTTAGAAATTATTGAAGTTTACTATGCAAGACCAGCCCCAATTTTGACAACTGCACTTGAAACTTTTGGACAGGGGCACTTGCTCTAACTGTATAGGTTCTTATAAGTTACTGAATTCCTTTCAACACCTTTTAGAAAAAGCGAAGTTGTTTTTCTTACCTCCAGTTTATAAATACCCGGTAAAAGTATTCTCCAGAATTCTCCGTACTTGGTTGTCTGGAAGCCTACATCACGTCCTTTCACTTTCAAAGAGGCCTTTTCAACTGGGTTTCCATGTTCATCCATTACAAAACCGTGGACTCCTCTGTGAGCCTCAGCCAAAAATTTTACTAGAGACTGTAACAAAAGAATACCTTTTTCATAGTTTTCAACAGGGACTTGAGGCGACTCACGAGGTCACGCCGTGCAACATCGGCCTATTTCGTCAGCGTCGATACTGTATGCCCAGATGGCACCCCTGAGGGCATACGGCTCCGAGCCGGATGCGCACAACCCTCGAGCCAGCCTCAAACTCCGGGCATGATGCTGACGTGCCGCCCGGAACAGCACCTTTCTCTGATGTTGAAGTTTGATGCTACGAAAGTGACCAAGTAGTAATTCACTAGGGGGCTACGCCCCCTGGACGCTACGCGGCCCAACCCCCAGAAGGCGCTCCGCGCCATCAATGGGCCGCTTCGCGGCCCTATTTTTACCCTCCTATCAGTGTTAGTTTTATTTTTCCCCTAAAAAATTACGACATGAGGTATACTTTAATTTTAAACTTTACTCAAAATTACTTTAAAATTAAAAGGACGAGTTTTGGAATGACTGCTTGATGAAATATTGCAGTAAAACAATGAACAATGTAGGCAGGTAATATTTAAGATTTCATGAGTCGGGGATCGAACACACACTGACTACAGGTAGACGCACTCGACGTCTTAGACGACTCGGCCACCGCACGACGTGAAGGTGTCGGCGCGCATCTTGTGTAGATAAGTGTAGAGCTGATGCGCAGGCTACACAGCTACTGCGCAACCTCCTCGACCACTGCGCATCCTCCCGCGCATAGCGGTAGCAGTACCGGAGCATTCTGTAAACTCACTCACTTTTATAACGTGATTTTAAAAAAACCTGGGTCCTTTTTCCAAAATCTGATTACAGCGGGCTCATCTAAGGCCTATTACCTGTCGATTTGCGCAAAAATCATGGAAATCGGCCCGGTAGAACGCTCAAACGAGCTATGACAAAAAGTATAAATTTACATTGTTTAAATGGGAGAATTTGCAACTTTACCACGTAATATAAAAAAACGTGGGCCATATTTTGAAAATCTGAAAAGAGTTGGCTTATCTAGAGACAATTGCCCGTCGATAGCCGCAAAAATCATGAAATTCGGCCCGGTAGAACGCTGGAACTAAGCGTTACCAGTTTCGCAAAATTAGGAGGTCTTGGAGCTTATAGTATAGATATTGTGATGCTGGGAATTCAACTATCGGTCTGATGTGGCATATCGCTCTTTGGGACCGCTACCGAGCCTCAGTACCCACGGGGCAAGAGAGTGTAGAAGGTTAGAGGCCCGAATGGATACGAAAGACCTGAGACACAAGTTTCCTGTAAGAGCAAGAAGTTGCGTACGTTGACGCGAGAGTGTTGCGGTGAGCGGATTTCCGCACCGACTACACAGGTTCGTCGTGCGAGAGTTGTAGACGGATGATGTATGAGAAATTGCCTTCGTAGGTAGAAGTGGTCCGGCAGCGCATACGCGCAGCAACATACGCGCCGCCAGTTACGGAAAAACAATAGAAATTATTAGTTTTCTGAGTTGCCAGCGTGCGCACTGCGAGCGCCTCTGTTTGAATTTCGCATTGAGCCAGGCCTCTAACCTTCTATACTCTCCGTGCGGGCATATAGAAAAAAAGGAGGTGTTTGCATCTTGAGGTTTGTTTACCCTGTGACGTAGGTCGGTACAACCTGGCCAGCGAAATCCGGAATTCGAAATATGAAAAACGGACCATAAAGTCCGATTTTTTTACTTAAATCAACTCGCAATATAATTTCAAGCACTTTTTCTAGAATGACTTTTTTCCATAAATCGCACCATTTCCAGAAAATCGACGATAAAAGTCGCTGCACCGACCTACGTCATCAAAAAAATTCCAAGATGCCCGAAATGCACACACCTCCTTTTTTTTCTCTATGCTGTGCGGGGCTCTCCCAGAAGACCGTCGGGGTATGCTACCCTGGGACTCGGCGATGAATTCGCGAAACACCCCTTTGTCTACGCTTCGACTCGGCGCGCTGGCCAACGCCTCTCCGTGCCGGGGGCTTTATGCGTTTTCCGCACAAAATCTTGGATTTTGGGTCTTCCACACCAAGATTGTGATTGAAGTTTCCGCACGAAATATTTCCCGCACAACTTAGATATGACAACATCGCTCGTAGAGGGTATCCTGGCCTGAGCTGTACCGTGTTTGTATCTACCTCAGATGCCCAAGATGGCGCAGGAAGGGGAATATTTACCCTCAAAGAAGAAGGAATAGTGAAAGTCACGTTTGAAACTTCGATTTTAGAGGTTAAAAGCCAGATTGTGTCAGCAGATGGAGCCTTCATATTCGCCCCCGAATTTGTTTACCCGAGTTACAAGGTTCATGTTCTTAAAAGTGGCTACCACATCAATCTGGTAACTTTTTTCTTGCCATCTAAAAATGAAAAAATTTACGTTGCTATGTGGTATCTTTTTTAAATAAATGTATCGAACTCCGTTGAACAGTAGATCAGAAAAATGTTTCCCTTTAATTCTTCGAAAAATTTCATGTACGTGGATTAAGTGAAACACGATTAAATTATCTGCAATAAGTGTTGCCAAATCATGCCAAAAATAAAGTTTTGCTGAATGATTTTGTGCGGAAATTTTAATCCAGGTTTTTGTATGGAAGTATCAAAATCAACGTCAACCAACCGTGCCGGGGCAGCTTTATTACTCCCCCGTATCGTTTTGAAATCGAAAGTCAACCTTCGATTCGAAGAGTCGCTCAGCCCGGGATGCTGGCGTCTGACCTTTCTGATTGATGCCGCCCGACAAAAGAGCCGAGAAGCGGGCATCACAAGTGAGGCAGCAGCATCTAGCAATGCCAGGTGTCGGCATCGCTGGCTATAAGCCGACTCGCGGACGGATGCGATCCCTCAGCGCACTGTCCGATGCGACATCAGTGTCCGCGCCGCATACCTGTCTCTTATGGCGTTGCCGCTCCGTGTATGATGCTGACTTTAAAATCAGCTCTAGAAGCCTGGTATTCGTCATCTTGTTTCTCCATGTTTTCACAATTCTTTAGAGGAAGGCAGGATCCTGATAGCTTATTTTCTTGACTCAGACACTTGTGTTTCAACCTGCAGGGTGATCCAAAAGTCCCTTCCACCCCCTCTAACTTTTTACCTAATTGAGGTAAAGATTTGAAACTTGGGGGATATTCCTAGGTCAAAGGGAGCTACTTTTTGGCCCCCCTAAAATGCCAACGGCCCCCAACTTTTATTTTTCAAATAGGAAGACCCCCTTTGTGATAGCTCGTTCGAAAGAACATAAAAAAAGAAAACTTTTCGCACAAACCCGAAGTCAATATCTCAAACCGTTTCAAAATGGCGGCCGGTTAAAGTTCAAAATGGCCGAAAATTCACACCGGTTATTTGTCGATGGATTTGCGCGGAAATCGGTATGAACGGGTATTTTGACACGAGAAAAACGAATTTGACGTTAGATTTTCAAAAAAACCAAAATTTCCAAAATGGCCGCCGGTTAAAGTTTAAAATGGCCGAAAATTATCACCTCGGTTTTTTCCTGATGGATTTGCCTAAAACTTGGAATTTGAGAGTATTTTAGCATAAGATAAACAAATTTGAACTTAGATTTATAAAAAAATCAATTTTTGGTCCTTTTGAACTTTAACTGGCGGCCATTTGGAAATTTTGGTTTTTTTGAAAATCTAACGTCAAATTCGTTTTTCTCGTATCAAAATACCCCTACATACCGATTTCCGCGCGAACCCATCGACAAATAACCGGTGTGAATTTTCGGCCATTTTGAACTTTAATCGGCCGCCATTTTGAAACGGTTTGAGATATTGACTTCGGGTTTGTGCGAAAAGCTTTCTTTTTTTATGTTCTTTCAAACGAGCTATCACAAAGGGGTCTTCCTATTTGAAAATTAAAAGTTGGGGGCCGTTGGCATTTTAGGGGGGCCAAAAAGTAGCTCCCTTTGACCTAGGAATATCCCCCAAGTTTCAAATCTTTACCTCAATTAGGTAAAAAGTTAGAGGGGGTGGAAGGGACTTTTGGATCACCCTGTGTAATCGTAAGCTCAAAAGCTAGGTACTTTTTGCCAAAATTCTGCTTGACTAGGTACTCATTCATAATGCTCATATTTCATACCTCATGAGGATTTTCTTTTTGCATTCCATTTAAAGTCAGTTGAAAGCATCTTTCGTCTTTGTCAGGGATCTTTGATTGTTTCCAAATTTCGTGCACGTTCGAATATTTACGCATTTCGAAACTAGATAGCGAATTAGAAAGAACTATATATCTGTGAAACTAATTTAAAGATATCCCGATTACTAAACTCCCAGCCAGAGGGGCCAGCGTTTGAACTCGGAGTGCGAAATATGTTCCGCCCGTCGAAAGTAGTGATACCTCTTCCATTTCTATTCCCTCCGCAAGTGAAACATGTGCCGTCATTCTGCATCCTGCTGTTCACGACCGTAATACCTACAGCATCTGCAAATTTACAGAAACAGGCCGGAAAAATGCTCACGAGGAGCAAAGAAAAATTTCTGACAAATCAGTGTCGGCGATTGCGTACCTAACTGTCCCGGTCCCAGGATTCGACCGCAGGCAGGGTGACCCGGCAACTATTACTGTGGCTTTGCGATACATTGATTGTTATGCCCTGTTAACCTATGGAAAAAGATCTAAAAATAAGTTCTTCGCAACGAACACCTTGATAATCGATTCTTTACCACATCTTTAAATGGGGAAATATCGATAATCGATCGTTCGCGCCACGCCACTGAACTAGTATTGGTATTGTATTGGCAATTAAGCAAGATTGGAACGAAAGGATGGGTCACTAACCGATTGCTGCCGCGCAAGGGATGGTAGCAGTAAAATACCAAGGATTTAAAGACCACGGTGAAGAACCACAAAATGCCAAACTGCTAGATGCGAATGTTTCAAGAACAGCGTCAAATGCAATTCTGCTTGCCACCCCTTTATTTCCACCTGCGACGTTTATAAAGTCATAGCCCAAGCTTATCTGTACGGTCATTATCAAGGCTATTACAAGTAAACTACATCAAAGCGATGGT